TCCACCCCGCACAACATGATCTACTCGACCACCATTATGGTTACCGCCAAAAAAAAGACAGAGGTAAAAAATAGATCGGTGACCTGGTTGCCGAGCTCACAAAGTGAGTTGGCTTGTTTTACACCGTCGTTGCCAAGCGACGAAAACCCAACCCCGATGGCAAACACCGGGGGGGGCGTCAACTAGGGAGGTGATAAATCTCCTGAGCCGAAGATGTGGTATTGAACATGCAGGGAGAGCAGAATCCCGCTGCAGCTACTTGCGCTGCTTCGGCAGCTGTTTGGCCTCAGCAGAGTAGACTCGACCGATCACCTCTTTCTTTTATTTTAGCCCATAAAAAGTATGAAGAAGTTTGCTCGGGTTGTGAGAAACAGGTTATGGGTCGAGTCTGCTTTACTGCGGCTGAAACAGCTGCTCAAGCAGCGGAAGTAGCTGCAGCGGGACTTGTTATTCCTGCCTGTTCCGGTCGTTGGTTCGTGCTCACTCAGGGGATCAGGGACCACTGCTGTGTCATGACCAGGTTACCGGGGTGATAGTAGCAGGGGCCCCGTGACTGCATGCTAGCCAACCTCGTGGTGCTACGCTGTGTAACCCGGCGGTAGTTGTTTCGGCTCCTCGTCTCGTCTGAGATATTATATGCTTCGAGGTTATAATATGCGCTCGTTGTGTTGCATCGTGTACGGTACATCGATCACCTAGTTCTTTCATATCACCTCGAGCAAAGAACTGCCCGACCACCGATGTTCGTCAGATCACCATGAAGCGAACGCACAGATCGCAGATGCCCTTCAGGTCACCATGGACCAAAACATTCAAAGATCACCTGTGTCAATCAGATCATCACGGAAATAAAACATACGCAGATGGCCTAGTCTTTCGGATCACCTCGGGCAAACATATTCGCACATCACTATGCCCTTCAGATGCTTGTCGCTGCGAACGAGATTCAAACGTACTCGAGGATGACGGATCCTCGAAGGCCGAAACACGAATATTTCATGTATGCATGCATGTATTGTCCACACAAACCCTGGTGCACCAGTCGTTGTTTCTGACGCAATGTCGCGGGGTTCTCGTGGTGCAGTCTCATTCTCCCCTTCGTTCAGATAGACCGGGAAGTCTGGCTGCGAGATTGTACAGTTCCATGTTTATTTTTTTTGTGTGATGATGCTTGGGGCTACGCACGAGCGAGGTAGTTTTTGTCGATTGATCCCGCAACAAGGCTGAGCTTTCTCCTTCCACGAAGGGCATGGCACGCGATACATAAGGCCGCACACACTATCTGTGGCATGATATTACACCAAGCGTTTGTCAACGCTATATCTCGATGTTGCGTGCAGCTCCTTGGCACGGCATTGAAGAGGTTTATCGTTGTCTCACCTCGGTGCTGGTTTCAACGTCTTGATGCGGCATCAAACACGGCCATCGCTGTCGGTGTGACCTTGACGTGTTGACACGACATCGACCATCGCTTTTGCTATCATGGGCAACCTCTTGGGACACGACACTTCAAAATACGTTCATCGATGGGGCGGTTGTTTTCAGCGGCTGCCCACGACATGTAACACGGACATCGCTGTTGGTGTGGTTTTCAACGTGTTCACGCGACGTCAAAGGCATTCTTTGCTGTCGATGCGGTATTGGTGTGTTGAGGCGCATCGCTTTCGCTGTTGCCTGCAACCTCTGGGACACGACACTAAACTCTTTCATCGGCGTGGTACAGTATTGTCTTTACACGACATCGATCACCTTCATCGCTGCCGGTCGGTGTATCTTTTACGTGGCAACAGAGGCAATGTGGCGGGATTCCTGGTAAAGGCCTACCAGATCTTCGACACTCCTGCATGGTCCGACGTGTGCGGGTGGGGGGAAGGGGGCAACACGGTGGTGATCCGCAAGCAGGTCGAATTTGCTCAACACATCCTGCCCCTGTTCTTCAATCACTCCAACCTCCAGAGCTTCGTCAGACAGGTGTGTGCAGGCGTATCTGAATGTGTGTGTGTGTGTTTTGGCTTGTTACTTTTAGCATCGCTGACCATTGAAAATGAGTCAATCTGAATGTGTGCGTTGGGAAGCATCGGCCGTGCTAACCGGCTCAACACTGCAAGACGTAAGGGTCAGGGGGTAGAATTCAAGGTTGCCCTGAAGAGGGACAAAGATCCAAGGACTGGGGTCGCCTAGAAATTCCATTGTACTAGACCTCTCTATCATTTATCCCTTTCGAAGTTGTGTTCGTTGTTTGTCTTTTTTTGGCATATTGGCATCAACTGCGCTAACCGGGTGCCCATTGAACACGCCATTTGCGTGCTTGTGTTCGGTGTGTGTTTCCCGTCTCCTTCTGGTGTCGGTACTTATCTCGCTGGCTTGTCCGCAGTCTTGTGTGCGCTCGCTCAACCGCCGAGACCTGACATTCCTTTCCGAATTGCACCTGGGCTGCTGGTGCGCCGTGTCCGCCCTGTTGGGTGTCGTCCATCTCTTCTCTTGCCGCTCGCTCTGGTGGGCGTGTGACGTACGTGCCAGCTGAACATGTACAACTTTCGGAAGGTGATGCAAGACCCTAGCAGCGGAGAGTTCAAGCACGACCTCTTCCGGAAGGTGACCAACGTAACGCAACCCTCCGCACCACAAGCTGATTGCTTGGGTGACGTGTCTGTCAGTTTTGTTGAACAAGTCGATTGCTTGCGTGTCGTGTCTGTCAGTTTTGTTGATGAAGTCGATTGCTTGGGTGTCGTGTCTGTCAGTTTTGTTGATGAAGTCGATTGCTTCGGTGACGTGTCGGTCTGTTTCGTTGATGACGCAGATTGCTTCGGTGACGTGTCTGTCAGTTTTGTTGATGAAGTCGATTGCTTCGGTGACGTGTCGGTCTGTTTTGTTGATGACGCAGATTGCTTGGGTGTCGTGTCTGTCTGTTTTGTTGATGAAGTCGATTGCTTGGATGTCGTGTCTGTCAGTTTTGTTGATGAAGTCGATTGCTTGGGTGACGTGTCTGTCTGTTTTGTTGAAAAAGTCGATTGCTTGCGTGTCGTGTCTGTCAGTTTTGTTGATGAAGTCGATTGCTTCGGTGACGTGTCTGTCAGTTTTGTTGATGACGCAGATTGCTTGGGTGTCGTGTCTGTCTGTTTTGTTGATGAAGTCGATTGCTTGGATGTCGTGTCTGTCAGTTTTGTTGATGAAGTCGATTGCTTTGGTGATGTGTCTTGTCAGTTTTGTCGAAGGAGTCGATTGCTTGGTGTCGTGTCTGTCTGTTTTGTTGAAAAAGTCGATTGCTTGCGTGTCGTGTCTGTCAGTTTTGTTGATGAAGTCGATTGCTTCGGTGACGTGTCTGTCTCTCTCTTATTGCTGGTATCGCCGTCCTGTCGTGCTTGTTCCGTGACCACCGCTTTGTGGCATCTATCTTGGCAAGTCATTTCATCACCTGCAGACCGTTTCGACCCTCTACACCCCCACCGCTAGTGTAGACTATAGACTATACCCCAATAGCAACGAAGAAGGCAATGTGGCGCTGAACAATGCATCTTTGATATGTACGATTGGTGTTCAAAGTTGGTGATTTTCCAATCGACAGTTTTCCGTAAGTATTGCCGGTGGTTCTTCGTTTCTCCCTTTCTTTGGTGTGGTCGGTTGGGATTATATTTCTATCTGCGGGGGAAGGGGGTACCCTGTATGTCCCATGGTCGGTCGTGCTTCCCTCCAAACGAACACCTTTAGTCCTTGCGATAGAAGACAAGACGTTTCATTTCGTGCCCAAGAGGTGATTGTTTCGCCACCCTTGTATCCAGGCACGCCTTGAATTTATATTAAGAAATGGGTTTGCCTGACTATGTCCATTATTGTCAGGTACACGAGGTGTGCGTATTATCTTATGCATACCGCGTTGTTGAGTGCCCGTAAACGCTTTTGTAGTCGTGCATGCACGCGTTGTCTTTTTTTCAACTCCAGGTTTAGGAGAGCTTTGCCTCAAACTCGTGGTTTTGGCTACAGGGCCTTCATTCAGATGAGGCGACGAGCGAACGCTTTTTATGTCCTTGGCTTTCTCGCGATGGCCGCTGGTGTTCGTGGACCGTCATTTTCCATGGACAAGAATTTGGTTGCCTACAGCGGATGTGTTTCTACCAGCCGATTCCGTCATGTTTACTTCCACGATTTACATCATTCGTACATACGTGGATTTTCATGGATGGCGTGCGACGTCTTGCGTGGTTCCTGTGGTGACTCACGTCATCTGCACTTGCTCATGCCCCCCACCCATGCCGTACCCCAGGGTAACGGGCACTTGCTCCACAAGATCAAGCGGAAGCAGAGTGCGGCAGCGGCGGCGACCAATGGGACGGCCAGTACATTGCCTAGTGAGTCAAAAAGTTGTTGTTGTTGTTGTTGTTGTTGTTGTCTTCACATTAAAAACCATCCCGGTCTCTCTATCCAGTACCTCCTTCTTTCTCAATCTCTCCGTACTAATCCATCACTTGACTCGGCCAATTTCCGTGGTCACAGGCTAACGTACCTAGAAAAGGTATACCAAAATAAAACGGACCCCAAGGGTCAGCAGAGCGATAAAATACAAGAAAACAAAATATAATCAGAAACAAATAAAATAAAAATAAAATAAATAATTAGACTAGTGGAACGGCCGCACCACCAGCCTGGGGGGGTAGCCTCCCACTACATGGAGGCAGGTCGATAGTACAAGCGCACAACATAACAATAAAAATCACTTGGAAATGAAACGGAGATGGTGCGGGATAGTGGCACGAGACGGACTATCTCACTACCATGGTCCTGGTAGCATTTTGTTGGACAACTTGCTTGGGATGTGTAGTTCTACGTCAATAATAAGTTTTGTAACAAACGGAATAAGAAAAAACACAAGTCGTGCTGTCTCTGAAACGAAGCGAACTCACAGGTGTGGGGGGTCGGTTTGTAAAGCTCGATTGCTCCGAAACCAATTACGGCTGTTTCTGCGGGAGATGTTGTAGATTTTCAAGTCTTACCAGCAGTGTTATATTTGGTGGTATTTTTTTTTTTGTGGCAAGAGCGATGAAGGGATAACACAGCTGGGACGGAATCAGGACTGATGGCGTCATGTGACCTCTGTAACGCAGTTGCTCTCTCGATTGCAACTGGCAGCCAACAGCAAGTTCGATGTGGATGGGGCCGGTTCTAGCACGGCCCTGATTGCCGGGGGCATCGTGCACGAGGCTGACAAGGTCTTGGATGAGCTGGTAGAGCTGAGGAAGTGGAAGGAGGACATGGAGAAAACGTGGGTTGTTGTCGTTGCCCCTGCTGCTGCTGCTGATGATGATGATGATGATGATAATGTTGTTGTTGCTGTTGTTGTTGTTGCTGCTGCTGCTGCTGCTGCTGCTGGTGCTCTCTTCGCATGCGGCCTTGCTTCCGAAGCAGGACCAACAATAAAGTTGACGGATCAGGCCCTGGCATCCGCACTGCTCATTACTCCTAGCCGTAAGCATTCACTCATTGGTGCGGATTTATCTTGTTCACACACCCATATCCGACAGAGCACGAGCGTGAGTCTGGTTATTTTTTTCTGTTACTTGCTGCCCTTCTTTCGCCGTCGCTTTTTGTTTTCCATGGCAGGCTGGATGAATTAAAACGGGATAAACAGACCCTCCAGAGCGAGAACCAAATGCTCAAGGGGCACGTTGCGGAGCACGGGCAACAGCAGAAGGTCCTGCAGAAGAAGATGCAGAAGATTGTCGGCTGCATGTTAGTCAAGCTTGGTTGGTTCGTGGGATGAACCAATGCAACATCAGTCAGGCTCGAGCTGTCTATTTCGTTCCCTTTTTTTTGTTCATCGCTTTACGTTAGCGCTCACGCCATGAGCTGTCTATGCATGCGAGCATCTTGGAAGTTTGTTGTAGCTGATCCTCATGTGCCTGAAGTATTTTGTCGATTTTCGTAATTTTACATGATATTGAACCATGTGTGGGTGTTCCGGATGTAGTCCTACGCACCATGATAATGTTGCCCGTGTATCGTACCATTGAAGCGTGTACATCATACCATGGAGCGTGTTTATCATACAATGGAACGTGTCAATTTTTCTCGACAGGTACGATGGATACATGTCTGGGTTAAGAGGAATCACCGCCCGCGGCGATGCGGAGGCGGTCGAAGCGAATAAGATGACAGCTCCGGCAACGGCAGCAACAGACAGTGCACAAGGGCAGCGATTAGGTGCGGCTTTGCTATGCGCAGCAAAGGTTAACGTTAAGGGTTGCTGTTGAACGTCGGGTATCGCGTGCTTGACAAGGGAGGTGTTTCGGTCGTTGGAGTGATATGGTACATGTTGTGTTGACAGAGGTGGATGCGTGTTTGTATTTCGCAGAGGGAGGTTTTTGTCAGTGAAGACGTGCGCACCTACTCACGCTACAGTTTCCCCCCCAGGGAGCTGTTCCCCGCCAGGAAGTTTAGGTACACTGGTGCTCTGTAGCGTAGTCATTGCTCCGAACGCTCCCCCGTCACCGCTTTGCTAAATTTTCTCTGTCTGGTCTTGGATCATCGGCACCGAATGGCCCTTCAATCCTTGATGTATTTTGAGTCCTTTCGGCTCGAGCCGTTGTGACACCCGTGCGTTACCCTGGGGCAAGCCCTGCTGCTTAGGAGGTCGATCCTCACTGCCGCAAGCTCTTCTGTCTAAGTCTTCACTATCGTGCCACTCGTCTGTGCCGACTCGGTCTCCGCTCAACCCTGCATTCTAAAGCAACCCCCCCCCCCCAACTCAATGACATTAGCCGTGGCGGGGAGTCAAGGTGCTGCCGCATCGACCGCGTTAGAGAAGGCGCTGAAGGAGCTGGCCGCCCTAGCAGGGGAGAACTTGTCCTCCAAGATGAATGTACGTTTTCGTATGTCTTGGTTGTTTTCTGAAAGAGGCGGAGAGATGCCCCCCCCCCAGAGCGGTTCTCAAAGCTCGATTACTGCACAACCATGCTTGTGCCATCACTCAACATGGCTTTAGAAACATGTCGTTGAGGCTCTCCGAAGACATGTGGTGCTCTTTATTCAACCCCCTTGGTTGTGGAGCAACGCGCTTTGAAAATCGGTCTGAGGGGCTACCATCTCTCTGCCTCTTGCGGTAGGTAGACAGTCGGGTGAAGGCGAGATCGATTGATCGCACGTGCCCGGAGCAGGCGTTCATCCCTTGGCCGGTTTTCTCGTATTAAAACAAATGTAGTAGCGAGCGTATTGGAACGCCTTCCTTCCAAGCATGGCCTACTGTAGGTGACGTAAGATATCACACCTCCTCGACCGATTGTCGAAGCTCCATTACTCCACAGCAGAAAGAATGGCGGTGCCGGAGACGGCGGCGTTGGGACCGCCTCGTCGAGACGTCGCCGAAAGGACACCGTTGAAGGTTGGCATACTGTTCGTCCTAGAGTAGGAAAGTATATTGCCATTTTTCTCCTGACGCCCCTTCCCGCCATACCGCCGTCTTTTCCATCGTCTCGTCCCAGGCACTGGATATGAAAAACCCGTGGACTGCTGCAGGAGAGGGCTCGGTTTCTGCTTGTGCTGCTGCCGATGCAACCGGCGCGGGAGGTGCCGGGGTTGCCGCTGCCGATGGCCAGGCAATTCCAGTCAACATCAAGAACGGTACGTTAGGTATAAGCTCGGTTACCCTATCCGTAAAGCCCCGCCCCAAAAGTCTTGACACTAATCCAGAGGTTTTGGGTGACAACGCTGTTCACCCTGTACGGGTATGAACGTTTTCCTGTGACCAAGGAAAGCGTCCGCGTGAGTTGGACCGGTACATAGATTGTTACAAGGCACTGGGGAGGCTTCACCGCGCAAGCTTTCAACAAGAAATTATGTCGCGATACACCAGTCCTCCCTACATCACGCGTTGTCGGCCGTGCTTTTTCAGTTCTAGGGTCCCTGTGTGCGGCACACTTGTGCGTTGTTGTCATCTCGCTTGTGTGTCTCAGCTGAAGTAACTCTTTTTCCGAAACAGGAACGGAATTTTGACGTTAGGGCAATCATTACAACACAAATAATGACACGTGTCCGTCACAGAGGCGAGCGCTGGAGGTTCCGGCGGCAGGATCATCGGGGGTGGGTCATTGAAGAGAAACCGCACATGGTCCCTGCATTCCTACGAGTGGCTTAGGTCTATCAGGCGGGTGAACAGTGATGAGTGCACATGGTGGTTGAGGTGACTGCCTGGCATGTTGGCATGTTTTACCATTTGTACCTGTTCCCCGTTCGTCATGACAATCATTGCCATTCTCAGCAGCACTCTTTCATTATTTTACGGGCTCGTTATTTCATTATTCCTGAAAACTTTTTTTCGTTGTTCATTTTTTTATTTCACCATACTACGCTTGACCTTATTTCGTCGTTTCATTTTTTTTTGCCCTCTACTTTCTCCGGCATGTCACTTTTGTACGTTTTTTCTAGCCCTTGTTTCATTGGTAGGTTTTGCTTCCATGTATTTCATTAGCGGACCCTTCTCCTTGGCGCTCACTCACCCGCCATCGTCGCCATCACCATCACCAGCATCCACTCTCGGTGGCACTGTGCCATTGGTTATTTCATTCCATTTTTTTGTGTAGTTTTGGCTCACTATTTCATTTTTCCCCGCTAACATGCTTCTTCTTCTTAATGTCGTTGTTTTACATTTATATATATATGTTTTTTCACTGTTGCATTTGTTTTTCATTTCATTTGATTTTCATCTTCTTTTTTCCACCCAGATGGACCCCTTCTCAATCGGATGACCTTTTGTGAAGAGGTCTGTTATCTTAAGCGTTGTGTGTTACCCGAAAGCGTTGAACGACATCAGCAGAGGATCAACTTGGTACTTCGTACATATGGCGTTTGGCAGCATTCCATTCAACGTTAGGGTTGACATGCCAGCAAGGCTGTCAGTGTAATTCTAACTCGTCCACATCGCCTCGGAAACCATACGCAGTAGTACACTTAGGGGTGTGGGCGTTTTGCGATCGCTGAACCATTTTCGTGAAATCGTCACCCAAGTTTATTCTCATATCTTCGCTTTTCGCCGTGCCCTGTGCACTCACGCGGAACCGTTATGTCATTTTTTACGCCGCAGGGACCCTCACCCGCCGGGGTCGTTGGAAAACCAGAACGGCGTTTCCTCTGGCGTGTCTAAAGACAACGGTAACGGCATCATCAAGCGGGGCGAGGCGGGGGAAGATGCCGCGGCATGGCGTTCGTCCGAGGGCATCGATCTTAGCGGCACGAGCAATGGCGACGGCGGTAACGATGCTGCAGTTTGCACATCCCCGGACCTCGAGAGACACAAGCTCCAGCCGAGAGCCTCCCCCTCCTGCTCCTCCTCCTCGCCCAAGTCGGAACGCGGCGGCAGCGCTCCTGTTGTGACTCATGGCGAGGGTATTGCAGATGCCGTCGCTGGCACGGGCAACGAGAACAACAAGAACAGCGCTTCCTCATCCGGCGAAAATAACAGCAGTGCTTCCGCGTTGTCCGGCGATAGAGACTCGCACCACGGATCTCTCAACACGGTGTGCAGCTTTCACCCGAACTCTCCCTTGCCCGCTGGGGACAGCCTTTCGAGCATCATCAACGAGGCGGAGACTACGCGACAGAGCGTGGCTGCGGCGGGGGGCTACGCAGGGAACGGGGACGTCTGGGGGGGTGGCGCACTGGTCAAGACCATGTCGGAAGGGGCCACCCAGGTGAGATTCAAGCAAGCCCAGCTTTGCTGTTCTGACGTGGACAAGACGGCGGGGGGGGTAGGTCGTGTCATGGGAATCGATGCTTTGAACGTGTGATCGTGGCTCGTACTGCTGTTTCAGCATGGAGTGCTACCTATTCGGTCTGCAGGCGCGCATCTTGCGAATCCATCGTCTGGTTAGCCCACCGCGCATGTTGGGTTTGAATATTGGAGCTTTGGCTCCGATTGCTACGGTTGCTCAGGAACCGCGTCACTTCCATGCTCTTGTGTTTTCTCCGAAGACCGTTGATGAATTTGCTCCTGCTGAAGCTGAACTTATAGGACCACTGTCGAATTCGGGAGTAGTCAGTTTTTTGGGGGGTTTATCGGTTGTCTTGCACTTGGTCTTTTGCGTTTTGTGCGGCTTTGTTTTTAAGACCAAGAGCTCGACAGCGGTAGCTGTCATTTCGATATGACTCTGTGTCGCACAGATTGTTTGGTTCCATCCTGATGTACAGGTGTCGACTTGCAAAGAGTGAACCTGACCCGATTTTTTTTTCCCTTTCCGCCCCCACCCCCCTAATCAATGAAACTAATGTGAACAAACACACATAAAAGATGGTGAGTGAGCTGGGCGAACTCGGACATAGACAAGGAGAGGCTTTATCGAAGATCGACAGCCTGGGTCTCCAGCTAACCAACCTGCTGGACCCCGCAATCTTAGACGTGAGCGTTTCCCTCGTGCATGGCTTGTTTTCGACGTCCCTTCATTGTTTCATACTGGATTCAATTTGTTTTTTGCGTGTTTTTTTTTCCTTGCTGCACTTACGGCAGTGATCTCTTCGTAAGCCGGCGACAATTGTACCGGCGCTAGATGAAGTCCGGTGAAATCATGCGAAATAGTTGGAATATTCAATTTGCCTCGGACTTCTGAGTTGTGTCGGATGCCTCTCCAGCTGTATTCGATCCGACTTGGTCGCTGCGGTTATCACACATTTTCTCTGTCTGTCTATCTGCCCTGTCTTTACATTCAGCGCCTCGTTTGAAGTACAGTAGAGGTCCCTTTTTAGTGCCGGGGTGGGCGCAAAAATTTCACCGGCACTATACCTGGCACCGGCAATATCCTTCAGAGCGCCTGAATAGTGCCAAAGGGGCACTTCAGGGTCCGAAAATCCCTCAATAGTGCAGCGCTTCGCTTTGCGGTGCCAACAGAGTACCACATGAAACGTACATGGTGAGATCATGGCATGGGCGTCGCGGGCAGACTGCTGTGCCAAGATAGGAGTGGTTCCTGCCCTGTCGAACACACATATTTTGCTTGATGTGTTATCTGGACACACATGCTGCACCTTGTTGCTGTACCCACCTCAGCGCACGTACTGCACACTTGCACAACCTGACTTTGACCCTTCACATGAATATCGCAAAGGATGCACCTCATTGATGTCCAATATTTTGTTGGCAAGAATGCCGTGGCACTGGCCTTAAACGGATCAAACCATTTCGCGCAACCTCAACATCACTCCTCGACAGCGAAATCAAACCACTGATCATGGAGCCCATGGATTTTTGGCGGTAACACTTTTGCCAAGCTCCTGCTGGCACAACCTATTGGTGAAGGAGGAAGCTAAATCTGTCTCCTCCTCACCCTCCTTCGATGTAGCCAGGACAAGAAAAAAAAAAACACGACCGCAAGAACGGGACATGCAAGAAATCAAACAGCCGCTGTAGCTGTAACCCCCGCCCTCACTACGTCGCGATAAATTCCCGCGGAAGGTGACCTGTGCCGCATACCGGACAGAACGCCACAAGCCCCAGATGGCCACATCTGCCGGGGACGATGCGGCGGGCGGCTCCATGGCGAATGTGGAAGCATGTTTGACGACAGCGAGCTGAACCGCATCTGCAGTACGTGCGTAGCCAACACTAGCAAGCGCAAAGCGAGAGCAGCAGAGGGTGCTGGAAAGGGGCAATCTAAACGCCCGAAAGCACAAGGGGGGAGTAAGAACGAAGCTCGGAAGCGGCTGGACGTACACCAGAAGGTCGAGATCTTCAAGCTGGTGGATGCGAAGAGAGAAAACTGGTCTCTTCCTTCTTACTCCCCCCTTGTGCTTTCGGGCATTAAGATTGCCCCCTCCCAGCACCCTCTGCTGCTCTCGCTTTGCGCTTGCCAGTGTTGGCTACGCATGTACTGCAGATGCGGTTCAGCTCGCTGTCGTCAAACATGCTTCCACATTCGCCATGGAGCCGCCCGCCGCATCGTCCCCGGCAGATGTGGCCAATAGGGGCTTGTGGCGTTCTGTCCGGTACGCCGCACAGGTCACCTTCCGCACACGGCATGGTGCGCCTCTGCGTAGAGCTGTTCGGGTCTGCAGCAGCACGTGTACCCTCTCCTCTGTGTCTGTCTTCTGTGTTGTGTGTGTCTCTAGTGTGTTGTGTGTGCGTGCGTGCTTGAACCGGCACTATTGTGGGGTTCAGTGGGGCCCGAACCAGCACTATAGTGGGCAGCCCTGAATAGTGCCGGTCTGGCACTATTCAGGGCGGGTTCTGTGCGCCGAGATTTGACCGGCACTATACCGNTGTCTGTCTTCTGTGTTGTGTCTCTTGTGTGTTGTGTGTGTGCGTGCTTGAACCGGCACTATTGTGGGGTTCAATGGGGCCCGAACCGGCACTATAGTGGGCAGTCTTGAATAGTGCCGGTCTGGCACTATTCAGGGCGGGTTCTGTGCGCCGAGATTTGACCGGCACTATACCGTCAACCGGCACTAAACAGGGACCTCAACTGTATCGTGATCCCTTTTTGCAATCTCACACTGCCGTTTTTTTCGCCTCCGGCCCGTCTGTTTCATTCCCTCCTTTTCGCCACGATTTCGCTTTTCCGGTATCGACTACATACAGGACATGTTCATGTTAGACAGCACCAATGATGGTGGTGCCTTCGATGTCGATGATACCACCGCTGCCGTGGGCAATGAGACACCAACACCAACAGCAGCACCATCAGCAGTCACTAGCCCTGCCTTCGGCGATGGCAATGGCGTGGCAGACCCCTCCATGAACACCTGCTAATACGTTCATGACGACACGTCCGAGAGAGAAAGAGAGAGAGAGAGGAAGAGAGAGAGAGAGAGGGAGAGAGAGAGAGAGAGACAGCGAGAGAGAGAGAGGCAGCCTTGGTGCGGATGCTGATGGTAGTGCTACTCATCTTGGGCGTGCACCCGAGCAAAGATCATCCGGCGGGCCAACGAATCATCAAAGAGTCGTCGTTCTTACTGGGCGAGGCAGATCTGGGCGTCATGCTAGCCACTCCATCTGCTTGTATACTTTAATTGTCGGCGGTTTTGTTGAGGGTTTTAGTTTGGCGTGCGGCTTGCTCTTGAGTTGCTCTTCACCCCATCCCGCACGTTTGGGAAAAGTTTGATATTGTTTTTCGGGGATGCGAGTTCTTGTCTGAATTGACTTGCGGCGTCGTGCCGTTGTCGATCGTCTTCCGACAGATCACCCGGCAGGGTAGGCGGGAGCATCTTCAAGCTTTTGAGGTGGGTTCGCATGATGACATGGCCGTAGGACTGTGATTTATGCTTGTGAGTTGGGTTCGAATCATGTGGCCGTGGGATGCTCTGCGAGTTTGTTGGTTGCAACACTCGAGCCTTTATCACCAGTGACATCACGTAGGACGTAGCGTCAGGGACGCACTTGTGTGCAGGAGGTGCTCCCAACAGGCGATTGCAGCACATTGGTTTCAGATCAGGTCTCTAACGTCCGCTTGCAACTGGCTCGTTTACACGGGGGCGACAGCACGAGACCCCGAAAGTGGTGGACCAAGAGGTTCTTCACTCTAGAGTAACATGATATCTCAGGCCACAAGCTGCGTTCGTTGGGAGACTCTGCATGCGGTGATGAGACATCTCGGCGAATCTGATCAGAGAGAGCCTGAAAGAGCCTGAATCTCAGAAAGAGCGTGCATTCCAGGAACAAACGGAATTTAGGAATTTCAGGAGTCGCCCTGCCGAGAGGCGGTGCAACAACTGCACCTTCTCCGGAGATCGTCTCCCACCAATCACAAGTTTCGGATTTGGTTTGTTGCGTTGTGTCTTATGTTCTTTATGGGGGCGGCTGGTGGAAAATTCCTCGCATTTTTACAAGGAGAAAAGGTTTTGTGGCACGCAATTTGCGTGTTGGTCAACACGCCTGCGGCGGAATTTACAATTAACAGGCACGACCGAAGATCCGCAGGTGGCGGGTGGCCTCATCCGCAGTGCAGTCGAGGACGGCACATAAGGAATCTATGGATGAATTGTCCTTTTGGGTTCGTTCATCTAGTGTCTCATTAATCTGTTTTGTAGCACAACGGTGCATGGCATGTTTGGCGTGCGTGGGAAGGAAGCGCTCGCGCATGTTGAGTCTCGCTGTTGGTGCAGTACCACTGACCGATACACCTTCACTGGCGATAAACGGGAAGTTACTTTATCGGCAGCTCATACAGTTAGGGTACCACCGAAACGCGCTGAACCAGTGAACGTTGTGAGTCTGATGCGCCCGGCTTACTGTAGTGTGGTGGATAGCTCCATCACCACCCACACCTCCATGTTGGCTATGAAGCGGCCCCCAACTCCTACCCTTGAAGGGTGTGCCGGGTGGAGATGCGGTGGAAAAAGGGGACGTAACCGCTTTGGATGCGAAGGTCGTGGTTGGCCCGGCACCCGGCCCACTTCTTGTCTGCCTGTGGGTTCCAGTGTAGCCACAACAGCGACTACAGGAAATAGGCTTCAGACAAGTACAGCAGCGCAAGGGGGTTTTACCTCTTTCGCGTACTGTTAATCGATTTTTCACGTTTTTCGCTTGAGACGTTCCTTGTTCGGTGTCGCGGCCTTGGGGTTTCCACTTAAGACTTCACTACCTGTGTTTGTTGTCGTTTCGTCGCCGCCGAGCGTTGCTCCGTGATATTGGTGCTTTGGTTCATCATGTCGCATTGAGCCGCCGGGGTTACCGCAAACGTTCATCCTAGGTAGGCAATGAGCGAAACAAATAAAATGTCCTCCATCGTGGTGAAAGCACCAAAGGCTCGTCGAAGGCGGGCCTGCACTCATTATCTCAAGTTGGTTGTCGCCAATCACAACCAGCTGTTTTTTTCTTTGTACCGGCACAATGCTCTGGCGACCACGCGCGAGAGGTGAACGGCGGTACTGTATCTCACACGTGGGGAAAATATTAAGAAGCGTGTAAAGACTTTATTTTCTGTGCTTCAGCGTTTCTACTGCAGGACTCCCAAGCGTTCGCTCTCCACGCCGTCCCGGCGCGCAAAAAGCACAGCAAGCAGCAAAGGAGATCTGGCAATGACGGATACCGCACCGGCGGCATGCATCAAGGTACCAAAGGCGGCACCGGGCGTAATTTCTCACAGCTTTACCTCCGATCAGATCAGAAAACGAACACGCATTACACCTGTGTGTCCTCGCGGAACAGATATTTAGCTCCTAGCTTTTTTGCAGGAGCAGCATGTAAAACGCCATGCCTACAAGTATTACATATGAAAGATACAACGCCAATCTTTGTCCGAGTCACCTACAAGCAAGTGCGAACGAAACGCCGCATCAACAGACGCCTTCTGCATTCATTAATCGAAAACCTGACGACAGTTGCTTCTTAGGCGGGATTTTACTACTTAAAAAAAAAAACGGGTGGGTGGTTGGGTGCCTAATATGAAACAAAAACCGTTCGACGAAATACTGTAACTACCCACGCATACGACTGGGGGCACCGTAAATTGACTGACGCAAAATGGCGAAACATCAACGCAACACCAGTACTATTGATCTCGAAAGAGTGTTCAAGCTACTGCTGTATTTCAGTACTATACTATTATACAGGGGAAAAACATCCGTTGTAGGCACCAACAATGTGCCACACAGAGAGTTACCGCTGGAAACCAATCCTGTGGCTTAGCCTGCAACTGTACCTCGACGTAGCTGACAACCCTCTTAATCCTGTTCAACAGAAGGCGGATAAACACATGCCGGGTCTAGGGGGAGAGGGGAACAAAGCCGTTGAGTCATTACAAAAAAAAAAAAAACGTCCCATTCGAAAAAAATTTAAACAACTTCTGGCGAGGGGGAGTTGGCCCACCAGCCCTGGAACTCGGCAAGGGAAATCTTGCCGTCGTTGTCCGTGTCCATGATGATGCACGCCGCCTCTACCTCCGTCGGCCGCATCATCGCTCCGAGGGACTATGTCGGTCGTGTGGTGTTTGGCAGTGGAGCACGAGAAAAAAAGTGCAGAAAGAAGGGCAAGATAACCATGAGAGGGCGAGAGAGAGGAGAGAGAGAGAGAGAGAGAGATAGAGGGGCAAAATATTACTTCGCGTTGACAAAAAGTGACCGCCATACTTATCAGGATTGAATGCCGGGGTCTCCAACGATTGCACCGTTCGACGCATGCATGCATGTGGTCAGTCCATCCATCTACAACGGGGAGCCGGCCGCAGTGGCATCTGAGGCTCTGACAAAACAAGCAGCGGCAATTCAAGAAAGAAAACCAACGAAGAAAGGCAAGCCGTGAGAGGTTGGCATGACTGCTAAACTTGCGACGCGGAATCACTCAAAAAGGAAACGCAACAGGCCAGCGGAGTTTCGCGTCCCATTTCCGCGATGCTACTCGTCACGTAGAACTTGTGTGAAGCAGACAATTATGGTTTTGAACGCCTTGTTGCGGTCACCATACATGTATGCCCCTAGGTGTGTTGGATGCCCAGCTCCAGGGCCTCTCGACCAAAGGCAGCACAAACGACAGCAATGCTTTTCAGACCGAGCGAAGAGGTCAGACGAAAACAATCAAGCTCTCGGGAGTACACCACATCTGCAGCACCTCGAGAAGGTTGCCCATCTCCGTCACGTCCAGGACTGTCAGGTACCGCCATCACCACCGTATCACCATCATCACATCAGATACCAAGACATGGCGGCATGGACATGGCCGACATGTTGACAGACCCCCCGAGAGTTTGACGTGTGAACGCCGCCGGTGAGACCGGAAGGGAGAGATACAGGTAAGAAAAAAAAGGGAGGGGAAAGCGGAATCTCGAGTAGCAGGAGGGTGGGGACAAAGAGACTGCCTTTAGTCAAGGTATTGCGAGCAGGGACAGATCGGCTCAAAGGAAGGTACGTAGTACATTGCGGCCAAGTTTCGGACGACGTCGTTACGCGCAGCAAATTGGTCGCACTCGTAAACCAGGGGCTCATGTTTCACTGCCACTGATTTGGCCCATCTATTTGCTAGCATCAACCTCGCGTCTACGCTGAGAACGCGCGTGCATCCATCCCCTCGCCAGAGACGCACCCGAAATCACCTTGTCTACGCACGCTGTCCAACACTTTAAATGATCGCATGTGATGACGAGAAACCGAAACCAGAAAGAACGGCTTCTAGCGCCCAACTGCCTAAATAACAAGAATGAAGCATCATGCCCCCAGTTTTCCTTGGTTATGCGCCATGTCAAAAGGTTCGAAAGCTCGAATGGGAAATTCAAGACGAAATCAGTCAATCACTGCCTATAGCAGCAGGGCACTGACACCCAACCAACGACGCAGCCTGCAGCATCTTACCGCCATCGTTGTTGTGGTCGAACTTCCTGAACATGCCCTCGACAACCGCGGGGTTCTTCATCTCTCCGTGAAGAGCGTCGAGGTTCTTGTAGGCCTCCTGGCCCCAGTAGATCATGCCTTCATTGCATCGTACGGCACACTTGTATTGGTGAGATGCCTACCCGCACTAGTTAGTCTAGTTGTTGCTTTTTCGGTAACCCGAATGAATATGATATGTTATGTATTGCTCTTGTCTTGGAAAAAAAAAAAAACAGTTTTGGGGACGCACTATGGCCACAGCAGGGTGCGAGGAATTGAGGATTAGCGACGGGTTCGTGAGGTGTTGGTAGGGCTTAGTGAAAGTGTTTCATTCTCGACTCTTGATCTATATAAAGCAAAAGTCTGCATCGTTCTGTAGGAGCAAACAGAAGCACATGTCACATCCACACCGAGAAATAAGGCCGAACACAAGGGAGAACATGGCGACAACGGCAGCCACAGCAATGCGGACACGTCATAGCACGAGCATCGTTAGGATAAGAGTAACACCAACAAGAGAAAAGCAAAACAGGTGAGTTCGGGATTATACAGAACGGTTCACCTGCACCGATGATGACGAGGTACAACCCGAGGACAATGCTGATGAAAACCCACTGACGATGCCATCACAACATCGCAATAGCAGGGGCAGAAGCAGGGGCAGGGGCAGGAGCAGGAGCAGCAGCAGCAGCAGCGGAGGTGGCGGCAGCACAAACGCAAGAAGTTGGGGATTTAGCGGGGGCCAGTTGAGGTTACAACAGCATCTAGAGGCGATACGCGTCCTAGAGAGACAGCGACTTTCAATTGACGTATTAGTTCCAAAGAAAAACAGGCTGTGTATGTAACAAGGACTGAAATCGATAAAAACCCAGGTTGCACGAACAACTGGCATCAATCGAACACAAGAGCTCTTTGGCCGATCTTCAAGTTAACAGATTGGCTTGAGGATCGGAGCAAAGACAAATTCAGAGCCGTACGTTTGTAGCCGTTCTCTTTTCCTGCGCAAGGGCGGCACCTCTTCATCGAAAATCTTCGCCCGACTATCATTTCAAGGGTGGCAACACCCAGGTGAAGATCGTCGAAAACTGGTCGACTTTCACGGCTTTCATTCCGAGGGCGGCGGCAACAACCAACTTCAGAACCTCGAACGCTGGTCGAGTTCCACCGCTCATATTATTGTACGTGCGGCGGTGAGCATCCAGGTTAAGAGCCTCGTGTATACCTGTGCGAGGGCCAGGGTCCCGATGAAGATGAAGAAGGCTCCGCGGCCCCACACCACCGTCGTGAAGGCGCAGTACTTGTGGATTTTCTGGAGAGGAGGGCACGCAGGACACATACGCACGTTTACGACAGCTACAGAACGCCAGCACGAAACGAACGGAACCGGGTGATCTCTGGGACACGCTAGAATGTTTCGCCATCTCACGTGCTATAATGCTGTGAAGACTGGCTTCTTTCCGGAGGCAAGCCGGCGAGGGTGGATGCCAGTAAACAACATGCAAACGAACATACATTGCGCATCGACAAAGGTCAACAAACAGCATTGATAGTGACGCCAAAACTTTTAGTCGGTCAGCCGGCAGGCGTCGCCGATGCTTCTGGAAATCATACCCGCTGCACGGCAACGTGATTGCGCGGCTCGAAGCCGCTACCTCGTGGCCTTTGCAAACATCAACGGCTATCGGAGCGACGTGGGGAGGCCGTGAGGGTGCTTTCGCACACAAAATATAGCTAAACACAAACATACGCATATGAACAGTTTATACCAGTCTTTGCACCGGATAAGTGGACAAGTGAACAAGTAAACGAGTGAAGAGTGAAAAATCGACGGTTTCAATGTATGAATGGTTTGGTGATCTATACCAAACACAAATCGCCGGAAAAAAAAAAGAAACACTGCCACGCACGGAAAGACAACGACATGGGATACCCAGACCACACAAGTCGGCCAAAAAACGCGAGCGAAGTTGAGATGTTGGGACAAATATGAAACCGTCAGGTTCAGCAGGAACGTACGTGCACAATCTTCTTGGGAAGGATGCTGCTGCGGGCCTCCAGGAGCAGGATGGCCCAGCCGAAGGCAAACATGTACAGCTGCTCCGCCGACCACGAAGTGTTT